TTGCTTTAAATAGCAACTGAACTTTCCATCTATCTCAAATCATTTGTGCACTATACTTCGTTTCACAGAGTTGTGGTCAACCTTGCCTTTCCAGCAGGGAAATAACTTTATTCTAATCATTATTTTATCTGACAAGTTATCTGACAACTAGCAAAACAAAAAGTAGAATGTAAGGTATACATTTTTAACAGTGAGGGTAATTAACTACTGGGACAATTTACCAAAGGTCACGGCAGACTTTCCATCATTGACCATATCAATTCGTAAATATAAGTCCTATACTGTATTTATTATCTGAGTATAATATTTCATTAATAATCTAAAATTAGGATGCTCACAAATCACTTAGGGAAAGAAGGAAATAAATATTCAACAACATGGTAACAGACTCTGCTCCAATAAAGTATTTTATTAATCATGAAATAGAGTAGTGGATCCTTTGGAGAGTTCCTAGAAATCCACAGTAGGCAAAAGTTATTTAAAAGAAAAAAACATCTATTCAATGTCTAGTATCTTTCCTGGGAGGTCAAAGGGTTAGAAATTCAGACTTTTAAGAGGGGAAAGAATTAGTGCTTCTTATTGCCCAGCAGCAGATTTCTCCCAATTCACTGATGTGATGATAGCCTCAACGCTGATTAACGTGTGTTTAGCTAGATATCTACTGATTGCAGGAGAGTATAAGAAAGATTTAAGAAGAAAAGAACAAATCTTTACAGCTCTGACAATGACCCAAAGGACCCTTGGGAAAAGGAAGAATACTTTCTTTTAAAGACTAAATCTTATGAAGAAAAACTGTAAATTTAAGTATACCTTTCAAGTTCACTAATCTGTCAAGCCTTTTGCCATACAGACTAATAAAAAGTGCCCCCCATAATTTATTAGAGGCCAAGAATACCCCTCTTTCAAAATAGGATTACCTCAACAGAACTCTTGATTAAAAATAAAGTGCCTTGCCAAAAGAACTCTGAAGAGAGAATCCTATTCTCCTATGCACTTAGTCTCTGTCTCAAAAGTGTATTTCTAATCAGAAGACAAACTTCAGAACAAAAAAATGAAATATCAAAATTCTAAAAATGGCTTTAACACAAACAATTCAGGGAATTTAAGAACTGTTGGTGGCAGCAGCAGAGCATATTGACATGCAAGAGAAATTCAGAAGCAATATGATACAGACACACCGCAGAGATATGTCACTCTTCAATTTCAAGGGGAAGGTGCAAGTTACTTCACTGAGGAAGCACATTTTCCTTTTCAAACAAGAGACTAAAACAGGACACTTTAGAAGTTATGAAAAATTGGAAAAAGATTGTGGGGGATACTACAGTGATTTTTGGAGGAACTAGTTTCCAGTCAGCTTTATTAGTAATTTATTAATTCACAAATTCATCAAAAATGAGGGTCTTGGTCTCAAATACGTAGCTTTCATTTAAAATCTCAGTCTAAACTTTGCTTTATATTAAATATGTAGTTTGACTCCTTTGAACTAAGTTTGGAGGTAAAGACAAAAGGAGGAAAACAAGTCATTTTTAAGCATACTAGTTTTTCCTCATCATAAAAATACAGGTAGATACTGACCTCTGAAGTAACAATTGCCGGAAGTTTCCACTTTGTGGATTAATGGTTAGATGATGAGATAGATAATTACACAGCCGTGCTCCCATGTAGGAAAAATTGGGGACAGATGTGGCCTTCCAAAATAAATTCAGAAAATAAATTATTATTCACAATAAATGAAAATTAGCTCATTAGGAAATAAAGATATCTTTCAGTAAAAGCACTTGATCAACACCAATGGATTTCTAAAAACCTGGCTATATCATTGAGTAGCAGACTAAGCAAAAAGAGAGAACTTCAATAACTGTTATTTGTAACATGCTTAATTTCAGCAAGGGATTGCTCAGAGAATCGAATGGCAATTCAATATCAAACCAGCTTTCCCACACCTTGAAGTCTTGACTTTGTAAAAATGCCAACACCCTCTAGCATGATGGCACTGTAAGAACAGTAGGACAATGGAACAGACTGCCTAGGGAGGTTGTGGAAGCCCCTTCACTGGAAGTTTTCAAAAGGAGTCTGGATAGCCACCTGTCCTGAATGGATTAGATACAACAAATCCTGCATCTTGGCTGGGGGTTAGATTAGATGACCCTTGCGGTCCCTTCTAACCCTATGATTCTGTGTCTCAGTAATTCCTCCTTCCCTTCACATCCTAATGCCCAGTGTATTTGAAAGTTACACTCCATTAGTAATTTATTGTTTACCTCAACATCAATACTTAGATGAAAGTTCAGAAAAACCTAAGAATGCTGTCAACATAAAAATAGCCAAAAACCTCAACTAAAAATGCTTGTGTATCACTTAATAGGCAAAGCACTTAACACCTGGGAAACAGAGTCATAACCATTATAAACTAGTCAAGGTTGCAAAACCTTTGTTTTCTCCCTGTTCTCCTAAAAAAGACACTACTTAATTTTGGGAGGAAGGGAGGTCTATTTTTTGAACTTTTATATCACTCTGAATTAATTGAGCAAAATATTTCAAAAGCTGTGTTTTTTAATAGTAGAAACATTTTGATCTGTAAATGAAAGTCTGTTCTAAAAATTGAAAAGGGAAGGACATCAAGATTTTTGTTACTCTATTAGGAAGCAATATGAAATTTAGAGAGCCTTCTAGAATCCTGTGAAAAAGGGTAACGGGTAAACAACATTGGTGATTAGAAAGAAGATCATGGCTAGCAGTTACAATCAACAGTCAGATACTGAAGAGATGGGATTGGGTACAATTGTGAACTGTTAGGAGAGCTTCGTTTGCTAGAATCTAGAAACTAAAACAGAGGTGTGCTGGGCATTTGATAACGTTGCTCTCTACAAAGGTAGCTAGTTCATTTTTCTTTTAAGCCTTCAGTGATGAATTCACATAGATGGTTGTTTCTCTTTCTAAAAGGCAAAGCAAAATGGAAAAGCTATTGTTCAGTAAAACAAACTGACTGTTTACTGATTACCAAATATTAGCATATGAATTCCTGACTCAACATGCCTAAAACTGAAAGGAAGTGGTACAAAACAAATGACTGGACTATAATAATTAAAACAAATGTTATCAAGAGTTATTCAGGAATGGATAATGGATTCATACTCTTCTAGGAAGCCATTTTCTTCTGACTCTTCAAAATCAAACATTTCATTGAAATTTTTTCTATTGAAATGAAATAGCAGAAAATTGATTAGTTTGATGTTGCTGCAAACAATACATTCTCAATACAGGCATCATAGACAGAACTTCTAGCAACTCTTCAATTTCAGCTGAAGCTTGCTTGTCTGCAACAACCCAAAAATGGCAAATTCTGTGATTATGCCAGACTTGAACTTGATAGGTAAGATACAAAGTTATTTTATGCTAATATCATCACCTTTAATATAGCACAAAATGAATAAGTTAAAAGAAATGATCGAAGTACTTTTCCCTCAATATATACACACACACACACACTCCACCAGACAAATTTACACTTGTGATTCCACTGCTAAGAGACTGCAAATGGAGAAAGATAGGAAAAAAGAAAGAAAGAAAGAAAGAATTAAGAATCAACACTGACAATGTAAACTAGTTTGTCAAACGGGATAACTGAACAATGGCTATACTCCATAGAGGAAAAATGCTTTCCTACTTAATTATTAATTCTACATCCGAAATTCAAACCACACAGCTTTATGTCCAAAATGTAAATGATGCCATTCAAGAAGGATGAGAAAAATACTGACATGGAGGTCTTTACCATTTGCTTAATGAAAATAAAATAAGGTCATCCAAAACGTCTGATGTATGGGCATTCAGCACACTATTTAAAAGCCATTGACAAAATAGCAACACTGTGGAAATTACCAAAAAACCCCACTAACCGGCTTAATGCTTGGTTGAAAAAGGAGAAATCATGCCTCAGCTTCCCTAAGACACTCTAGATCTCGTAGGAAAATTGTGGGTCTATCCAACTGTGATAATATAATTAATTTTGTACTGTGCAGGCCACCAAAACAGCACCCATTTGATATATGAGGGTACTAAAATTACAAACATAACTGAAAGAGGTTTTAGCGGGATTTATAAATAAATAAAATAAATAAATAAATTTGAAAGATTACAGGCTGAAGAAAGTGCTGCAGTTTCACTGAACTCATCTGATCTAAGTGAAGACCTCGAACCACACAAGAACAAAAATGAAAATTGATTCTATGCAACTTTTTCAATACTTTGCCAACATGACTGAACCAATCAAGGTCAGAAGTAAATCCAAAACAAAACCGCTTCTTCCCAGCCTCACACCCAAAATGTAGCTGATGCAATGTAATCCTAAATTTAGTCCTTCTCTAATATTTAAAAATTGAATATTCAGGTTTCTAGCCCAAATTCCATGTTTCCAAAGGACAGTGTGACAACAACATTGCATCAAAATGGTAGAAAGTTGTAGATGTCAAATCATGAAAGACAGAATAGCTGAATTCAGAACTGACAGGGTTTTTTTTGTTTGTTTGTTTTTAAAAGAAGATCTGTACTTCTGTCTTGTTAGGACACCATCAATTGAGCAAATGCTTATAACACACCGGAATTGATTTGTTTGAAATTTTTGTAATAGGTCAGATCCTGAAAAATTAATTAATTAAGTTGGTAAAAGTGTAATATTATTATCTAGGAGATACAAAAATAATTGTATTCCTAACTAATTAGTAGATTGGGAACTCAAATATTATATTCTTGTGTTTTACATACAGAACTGCAAACTTTTCAGTTTGGATACTATAAGTGCCTTATGTTTAAGATGAAGTCATAATGTATACATTATGCATTGTATCATTTTGGGTGGTCTACCTCCACTGGTTCCTCTACCGCATTTGAGGAAATCACAGCAACTCAAAAATAGGCCAAAGCAAAAAAAATGGTTAATTGTTAAAAAGAAATATTAAAATTGTCAGACAATTTTACTTTACATGAAATCTCCTTGCTACTTCTTTTTATTATATAAAAAAGAAGTAAGTAGCAAGGAGATTTCATGTAAAGTAAAATTGTCTATATATATATATAAAATAAAAGTTTTACCTATTTCTCCCCCCCCCCCCAATAAACTTGAATTGCATATACTAGGTTCTCTATTCATGGTGCTCCACGGAGAATTAAAATTGGAAAAATAACAGTGATGCTGCCAATTGAAGCACTGATAAACGAAGGGAGGGTTGGATGAATTGTTTGCTTAACTGGAATCAGTCTTTTTGGAAAAATATGAGAAACTTTATACAGGCTAGACTCCCATATGACTGATCAACCATTCATTCAACTCAATATTCTTCAAATTATTTCACACATCAGACCAAACCCAATTTACAAACTTACACCCTCCTGAAATATTTTAAGATCATTCTCAAATTCTATTCTAAAGCTGAATACAATTTTTGTTTCAATCAACATTTGTTATTTTTCACTTTCTGTAACAAGTAGTAATTACAAATGTTGCATGAAATTAAGCCCAAAGCCTTGGAAGAACAATTGATATTAGCTCATTAGCACAGAAAAATTGTTCTTCTTAACCTCTGAGGATAGGACAAGAAGCAATGGGCTTAAATTGCAGCAAGGGTGGTTTAGGTTGGACATTAGGAAAAACTTCCTAACTCTCAGGGTGGTTAAGCACTGGAATAAATTGCCTAAGGAGGTTGTGGAATCGCCATCACTGGGTATTTTTAAGAGGAGGTTGGACAAACCTGTCAGGGATGGTCTAGATCAGGGATTGGTAACCTTCGGCACGCGGCTCGCCAGGGTAAGCACCCTGGCAGGCCGGGCCGGTTTGTTTACCGGCCGAGTCCGCAGGTTCGGCCAATCACGGCTCCCACTGGCCGCGGTTCGCCGCTCCAGGCCAATGGGGGCGGCGGGAAGTGGTGGCCAGCACATCCCTTGTCCCGCACCATTTCCCGCAGCCCCCATTGGCCTGGGACGGCAAGTTGGAGACGCGATCGACCGAACCTGCGGACGCGGCAGGTAAACAAACCGGCCCGGCCCACCAGGGTGCTTACTCTGGCGAGCCGTGTGCCAAAGATTGCCGATCCCTGGTCTAGATAATACTTAGTTCTGCCTTGAGTGCAGGGGACTGGACTAGATGACCTCTCGAGGTCCCTTCCAGTTCTATAATTAGCTTAGCAACACTGCTCTTTCCAATGCTTCCCCAATTAGTACATAGATCCAATCCCATGGATGGCCATAAATATGAGGATGAAGGTCTTGAATTGAACTATCTACCCCAGAGATTAGCTCTTTCTTCAATCATGATTTTCCAAAACAGATACATTCCAATGAAAGCATAGAATCTTCAGCCAGTAGAGAAGCGTTTCCCAGTGTCAGGCACACAAAGGGATATCGGCAGATCCCTCAATTGTTTTCCAGTCTCAGCTTTCGTTTTTTAAAACGTAAATCTTTAACTGTTATTAAGAAGAAAACCCTCAAAAATTGACTCAGTTTTAACTGATGAAGCAATGTCTGTCTGAGTTTGCAGACAACCTGCAACAATAGCTCTGGGAAGTATTAACTTGCCAATTCATTGTGATGAAGGAGGATTCAAAGGAACTGCTGTCACCTTTCATTAATCTCTATTATACAAACTCCAACATATGCCCCTGACAGCCCTCAAATGCCAAGAAACTAAAAAAGTGAGCCTCAGAAGTAGGACTACAAGTATCTTGTTCAGTCCCACATAACAGCGAATCCCGCAGCAATGAGTCTCAGATCCCGGGTCACTGGGCTTGCACTATGAGGCTAAAAATAATGGTGGAGACATTTGGGTACAGGTCAGAACCTGAAGACGCACCCCTTTTGCCGGGTTTCAGAACCCGGGCTCCTACACGGCTATTTTTAGCCCTGTAGCACAACTCTGCAAGCCTGGGTCCATTGACCCAGACTCTGAGACTCACTGCTGTGTCTTTTTTTTAGCGGAGAGGGGGGAGCAGTGTAGACATAACATCTACGCCTAAGTTGCAAGACATTATCAGAGAGCAATAGAGAAATGAATACAGCTGGAAATGGCAGTGCGAACAAACAAGTGATATTTATCCTCCCCTTTGAGGTATGAAAGAGTAACCCACTTCCAGTCACTATTTTCAATTTACAGGGCAAAAGCTTTGCCCAGATACTTCAATCTCACATATGAATGGAACCATACTATAAAAATATTACATGTACACAGAAATGCTAGTTGATATACTGTAATATGCAGCAATCCTAGAAATCCATTTGCTGGGGGGAAAAAAGAAAAAAAACGCAGAATTTGCATTTTTACAGAGAATCTTTAGTTTTTGCACTTAAATTAAATAAATAAATAAATAAATAAAGACACACACAGTAGAACCCGGTACCACCAGCACATGCACAGGGATATGGGAAATTGATGCTGTCAGCCCTGGGCAGCGGGGCTCTCGCTACCCGATTTCATTTTAATTTTGGAGAAACACTGATTTTCATGTTTTTTTATCTGAGAATTTTGGTTTTGTTTTTTTTTTAAATCAGAGAAAACTAGGATTCCTGATGATTTGTATCTTACATATTTTAATAAATTCATGCTCTGTAGCAAAATCCTACAACAGAACAATGCTATAAACAGAACAATACACAGGCTACCTGTCGATAGATGAGTTCAACAAGCTCTTGTAATGCTTCATCTGTAGTGACCCAACCATTCAGTGTCTCTGCAAAATGCTCTATTTCAGTTTCAAAACAGCCTGGTTGTTCAGTGAGGTGATTTAAGAAATCCTGTACGTATTCTGTCAGAGTTGGATAGCCATCACATCCATCTTCAAAAGAGGAATCCTAGAGCAATGAAGTAATATACCTATGGTTAGAGGCTACTTAAAAAGCAATCTAAAATAATATGTGCCAGTATCCTCTCTAACAGTGGCCAGCACCAGATATTTCCAAGGAAAGTGTAAGAACCTTGCCGTGGGCAGCTGTGGGATGATTTTCCCGCAACATTAAATCTCATCCTAACCTCTAATAGTTAGACATTGGTTTAAACCAGGAAGCATGAAGGTTAATATCCCCTCCAAAAATTGTTAGCATTAAGTATTATAACTCTGGATATTCTTGTTATCCATATAAATTTCCAATCCTTTTCTGAATCTTGCTAAGCTCTTGGCCTCAATGACTTCCTGTAGCAATGAGTTCCACAATCAACATTTTTTAACAGTCTCCCACAAACATTTTTACAACATTTTATGTTTTCCCCTTAACTTGTTTTAAAATTAAATAAAAACATTTATCTGGTTTAATTTTACAGGACTGTACATTATCTAAATTAAGCCGACAAATAGTTGATAAGTTATAGACCCTACTGAAGGGAACAAACTGAACCAAGAGTACTTTTGGGAAACTTGACTTTGTATAGACTTCTTCAGACCATAAGACGACAAATCCCTTCTACAATGAGTTAAACAAAAAATTACTGAAACACAATTGTCAACTTTAAATAATATCTGAGAAACACTAAAAACTTGACAATGATTTTACATCCATATTTTTATTATATGCAATGCTTAATTAACAAATCCTCATACAGCTTGCTAGATATTGTATTTCTACATTAAGAAGCATCCCAGTCTTTATAATAATCCAGTAAACTATCATGTGAATATGTGAAAAAAATTAAGTATTGTAAAATAAAGTAAAATTATTCTTTCCCATAACTGCTGAGTTACTGCGTAGCAACCACAATTCACATTAGGCAGGTGCAGAAGAACAGGTGCAGGTTCAAACAGCATCCTTGAAATCTGCTTCTACAGCCAGAGGGAAGTGTAACAAGAAAAAGAAACAGCTGACAATCAGAAGCAACAGCTATTGGGATGTACTGGAAACCCTCATTTGACAGAAAGATGAAGGACTTGGAGATGGGAGGAAGATAACAATTCATCTTGGAGAAGTAGAAGGATAAAACTGAATTCATTCTTTGAGGGTGGCCTCAAGCTTCAGTTAGCTTAGACGTGTCCCTGCATTAACACACCCTCTGTAGTTTAAAGGATAACTTCTGTACCACATCCATCATATACAGCTCTAGTGTACTATAGTTTTGAGAGAATTATGTCTGAGGACACTGTGTACCAAATGGGAGGGGAAAATACATTATACATATTACTACCAATATAGAACCAGCTTGGTGGCACCTGATACACAAAGGACCAATTTAAATCTAGCACTAAATCTTAAAAACCCTCAGGCCACTAATAATACAAATAATAAAAAATAATACCTAGCTCTTATATAGCACTTTTCATTGGATCTCAAAGCACTTTACAAAGGAGGTGAGTATCACTGTCTTCACTAGTATCTCAACTAAAAGAAGGTCTCTGCTAGTCAGGAATTCCAGAGTGATCCTAGTTATTTCTAAGTGGCAATCAGCTAATAAAAGACAATATGCTCACAAATTCATATAAGGTCTGATCCAAAGCCACTAAAATCAGTTGGAAGATTCCCATTAATTTCAAAGAGCTCTGTATTAGGCCCATAGTATGCAATCCTCCAGCTAAAGTCAATAGCAGCAGGGCAAGACTGGAACCCGAACAATCCATAACAAAAACCTACTTTTCCCCAAACATAGCCATTGTATGAAATTTAAAGATGTAATGATATGGAAAGATTGAAGAGGTAGTAACAAATGTTTGTTTTAGAGAGAGACAGAGAAACAGATTTAAAGGCTGTGTGTCAAATCCTTGGCTGCAAGTCTGTCCCACCCCTAGTAAGTGATATAGTAAGATAGTGAGCACTGTCCCAACATACCCTAGCTTGAAATGTTGGGCCAGATTTGTAGGTAACTGTTTTAATGACCTATAATTTATCATTTAAAAAAAAGTTTTCTTTAGCTTTTCTAGGAACATACTCCTCTGCCTTTAGATTATATACTGACCAGCTGAATCTTATAGGACTTTACAATGCAAGCTCATTGCAATCTTAAGCAGAGAGAGGTTGGTGCCTCTCTATAATCATCTGTAGAAACAATGTATAGCTTTATACTTCAGTAAATCTTATGAAACACCTATTGAACTCAATCCCCTTTGCCAATGAATTGTGGTAGGCAAGAAAAGGAGTCTACCTGACTCTGAAAGTTACTGAAGTGAAAACACTGTAGCCTTCTGCTGGAGTTACAGTAATGTTATTGTTGCATGTTCTACTCCTGGGGTATTCTGAGCCACTGCGTGTACACAGAATTCATGTCCACTGCATATTTCTTTGCTTCCCTGCAGAACAATGACTTTCTGATGGAGAAGTAAAGGGAAGATGCAAGAAAGGGGTCTCGTACCCCTCCCCAGCAATGTGGGTGCCTGATTTTGGGTTCCCGGAGCAGGCAGTGGAGAGGTAAATCACCACTGGGAGCGGGGGGGAGGATGTGGGGACGCCCTGGCCCGTGGTACCTACCCTGTGTGGGTAGGGCTGGGCTGAGGAAGGACAGGACTTGCTCTTCCCCTGCAAAAATCACTTCAGTTGTCTCTGAATTACAGCAGCTATTTAACAGTGCACAGCAACACTATGCTGCAAATTACTATGAAGCTAATACTGTAAATAAAAGCACTGGGAGACTTTTAGGCACAAAAGTAATTACGCAATTTGAATTTGATCTGAATAACAGAGTTCAACTGCTTACTTCCGCAAAAAAATGCTAAGGGGATCTTTAATGAACTGAACTCAACAATCCTTTGGTTGTAAGTGTCATCTGATCAAATAATCATGAAAAGTCTTAAAATTAATTCTCATTTATGAGAAATACTCACATATATTAAACAGAATATACAGTTTTCTATCCTACACCAATTATGCAGTCTGCTTTAAAGTACTGCATCTTTTGATTTACGTATTTCAAATTAATATATCTTTAGAAAGCAATGTATTCTTCTGTCCTGGTCCTTAAGTCACACAAAATGCGTACCAGCATTTTAAACAGGAGCATCAAGTCAAAAAACATTAACATTAATCAATATGTAGGACATGACAAATTGGAGTAAAGAAGACAATGTTTATGTGCCTGCACCATGCTCCGGAGGGACCACTTCTTTCAGGGAAAGTTTAGCTCAATCTCCACCCCTACTCCTTTGTCTTCAAAAACTGACAAATGGTACCATTTGCTACCCCTTGTATTTAGCTTACTGGTTATTAGGCGATGGAATGGCTGACAGCAATAGTTGGTCCAAATACAAGCTTCGGATTTAGAGGTGACTGACTCTATATCCATTACCAATCGGTTCTCTTTCCCCATGTTTTAATACAGCTGGTGTTAAAATTGGCAATATAATTAGAAATTGGATGCTACCAATCACAGATGTCACACAAATCTAGTTTCATCCATGTGCAAAAAGTGTTTACACTGGTAGCCAGTTCAACACCTGAGGTCCCTTCCAACCCTGATATTCTATGAACACATCAGCATTTATAGGTCACAAATGATGTTAAAAATATGCACGTCAAAGGATCATATTTAAAATCCAACTTTTATTTCTCCACCTATGTTTCTCAAAACATAGTTTTTCAGTATAATATAAAAGTAGTTGTCCCACCATTTATAAAACAACAGCATTAAAGTTTGAGGGTTGGTTGTTCAAACAATACAATTGGAATGCTAAATGATCTGAGAGATTATCATGGAATAAATGGAAAGGAAGACTCCAGGAATTCTCACCTGCCTCCCCAGGAATGGAATTATTACAGAGGGAACACTCAAGACAATAGCGTAGATGGTCAGAGAGGTCCACCTTGCATTATACTTATAAGCTGGTCATGAAGAAGCATTGCAGTCTCAGGAAGAGACTGCCTGCTGGAATATTGGTCAAATCAATGTGTGGTGTAATCAGGAAGGAATGCAGTTATCTGGGACAGAAAATCAGCATACAAAGACTTTGATGTATTCTGTGATATTCATTCAGATCACTTAACATTCCAATTTATTGCTGCAGGAAGTGGGCCTCTGGCATGGCTGAAGTTGGTGGGGGTAATCTAGTGCTTTCAAACCGCTGACATCTCACACCAAAAAATTATGAGAAAAATTGACAATTTGAATCCAGTTAGATACCAAACACTTACTGTAAAACTAGGATTATATCCCGACGGATAAAACTCAGGTGCATTCACTGACAATTTTGACGTTGCTACTGGAGCCACAACCAACTGAGGTTTAGCCATTGCTGATCCACAATCGTGAGCTGCAATTTTATCTTGTGATACAGGGGGCACTTTTGTCTGCGGCATATGTTCTGTAAAGATTTTAAAAGCCATCACGTTACATTAACACCTCAATCCTAGAATTTATCAAATTTCTGCAATTTCACGCAAGTAAACAACCATATAATGGAATTCGTGTTCTTGGGGGATGGAATAGAAAGCAAAATGACTTCAGGAGCCGCACATAAAGCAACCTGCAGAAAACTTTTTAAAATTAGTATTGTGGTCTTTAAGGTGTAAAAAGGCCTAAAAGGTTTTTAGTTTTAAGAGATTTTTTTACCTGGTATTTCTAAGAAATGTCAAGTCTGGTCTTCACTGGTTTTGCTAGAAAACTTGTAAGGATCTCAGATTTTTGTGATTTCTTGTACCTTAACTAAAACAGGAGAAGGCTCTGAATCTTTAGCAAACATTATTTTCTCCCGAATATTTTAACAAGACACTTCTATACAATCTGACTAAAAATCTTTTCTCCTTTCAATTGCTCAATTTTCAGTTTCTTATGATGTCATAATTTAGGCTTTGATACAACACTTACGCACCTGTTAAGTTTACTACATTAAGTAAGCTCATTTAGTACAATAGGCCTACTCATGGTAGTAAAGCATATACATAAGTGTTTTCAGGATCCGAGCCTTAAATAGTTTTCTAATCAGCACAAAAATTTCCAGAGTAGACAGGATCTGAATTTCTAACCGTAAAAAACAAAAACAAAACAACAACACACATGACTTTGTTTTTAACAAAACACATTTCAGGCTTTTTTTCTACATTGGCAAGAAGCAAAAGCTTATTTTTTCTCCCCTTTTTTGCAGGTCCCATTTAAGACAATTATACAAAAAAATCTGAAACTACAAAAATCATCATTTCTAAATCACAGATGTCTGAAGAAACATTTGGCTAATCTTGTGGATTTCTCAACTTTTTTTAAAATAAGTCTAAGACTGTCATTTATTGACAAGTACTATGAAAATTGCTGAATTTATATTTTAACAAACCATGCACCCTGTTGTAAGTCATTGCTTGAGAAACAGATCAAGCTATATTTCTTGCTTTTAAAAGTTATCTGCATTTTCGCATGTATTTTTATACCTTAGCTAGCTGAACTGTGGAAGTAAAAATTTAGATACCCAGCATTGTTGCTTTGTTATCTGCTTCAGTAAACTATTTTTACCGGGAAAAAAATTGCTGGAGAAGAGAGCTGAAGAGGGAACCATTTATGAAAGGTTGAGATACAAACCTCACAATCTGCTGCCAAGTAAAAGAGACGTGTGGATGGATAGAAAACACAGAAGAGGGTGGTCAGGGGAAGCCTATGGCGATATATAATGCAACATCACATCTAACAACCTGGGTACAGGCGTCAGTGAAGAGGTTATAGCGCCCTGGGGGAAATGGGCAGGGGCCTGCCCTGGCTCTGCTTGTTTCAGTTGAGGGTGGGGGGACGAGGCTGAATCATGGGCTGTTAGGTCACTGCTCGGTCAGGGCCCCTGGGCGAAGGGCGCAAGGCGGCTCGGCAGTGGGACGAGACACGGGGCCTCTGCTCTGCTGGCCCTAGAAGAGCAGATCGCGCGGCAGGCAGGACGGTGTCCCAGCAAGCCGGCAGTAGGCGAAGGAGCGGGCTCCGGTGCCCGGTGCGGGAAGGGGTTCCCTGGGGCGCCGGTGCCCGGTAGCTGGGGAGGAAGGGTTTCCCAGGGGCTCCGTTGCCGGCGGCGGGCAGTACCTGCGTTTCCGGTGCCCGGCGGCGCTGTCTTGGGCGGCCGAAGCGGCTCCTGCTGGAAGCCCGGCTTGTGCTGCGGTTCGGCGGGCCCCGAGCTGGGGAAGCCGCTGCCTCCGAGACGGGCCCCGCTCTCCGCGGCGCCGGATCCGCTCAGCAGGGCGCCGCCACCTCGACCCCGGCCCTGGCCTCGGCCGGCACCAGGAGCCCGGTCGAAACAATCCGACATGCTCGAGACGGGTCGCTCAAGCGCTCCTGGGAGAGAGCGCGAGGCCGGGCCCGAGGCAGCTCCCGCGGGCCGCTTCCCTCCCTCACGGCAGCTGCTGCAGCCTGAGCCCTTCACTTTCAGTTTCATCCCGCACTCGGCGGCGGCTCACAGCGCCCCCTAGCGGCCGGGAGGCCTCCCATCACCATAGTAACCTGGACCCCGCCGAGGCGGCGGGGGCAAAGCAAGTCCCGCCCCGGTGTCCTTAGGGTTAGCATCTAACGGGCATTAAATAGAACAGAATTCTCCCACGTCACGCCACGTGGAATGGTTTCGGGCAGGGTTGTGGCGTGGGAGAAGCTTCAGGAAGGGCCATCTCTGTGCCAGCTGAACCCGTTCATAAGAGCAGGGCTGGATTTAGGGACGTGCGAGGCACGTGACTGCCTGTGGTGCAGAGCTCAGGGGGTGCCGGGCTCGGGGCGCTGCTTCTGTTGTTAGGGACAAAAGGGAAAATAGACTGAAGGAAAATGTTTCAGGTATAGATTCATTTTCACTAACCTCCTAGAATGTTCTGGACCTTTGTAAAAACAACGAGGAGTCCTTGCGGAACCTTAGAGACTAACACATTTATTTGGGCATAAGCTTTCGTGGGCTAAAACCTGCTTCATCAGATGCAGGGAGTGGAAAATACAATAGGCAGGTATAAATATACAGCACATGAAAAGATGGGAGTTGCCTTACCTAGTGGGGGGGTCAGTGCTAACGAGGCCAATTCAATTAGGGTGGATGTGGCCCATTCCCAACAGTTGACAAGAAGGGGTGAATATCAACAGAGATCTGTGTTCATACCAGGGGTGAAAGTAACTTAAAGGACTTACCGGTAAGCTGAGTATGTTGGAGTCCTGAGCGGGGGCGTGGCCCCCACCGGAAGAGGCGGGGCCTTTCAAGATTTAAAGGCCCTGGGGTGCCACCTGTGGCTGGGAGACCCAGGGCCTTTAAATCACCCCGGAGCTCCCAGCTGCAGAGACGGCTGGGAGTCCCGGAGCTCAGGGGTGAATTAAAAGGCCTGGGGGGCTGGCCACTGCGGTGCTTCAGGCCCTTTAAATCACCACGGGGGCCCTGCCGCCACTACCCCGGGGCGGCAGGGCTCCGGCGGTGATATAAAGGGCCCGGTGCTCCTGCCACTGCGGGGAGGCCCGGACCTTTTAAATCCCCTCCGTCAGACAGGCTCAGGCGGGGATTTAAAGGGCCCAGTGCTCCTACCCCTGCGGGGTAGCGGCGGCAGGGCTCCGGCGGTGATTTAAAGGGCCCGGAGCTCCGGCTGCTGCAGGGAGTCCTGGGCCCTTTAAAACGCTGCTGTAGCCCTGCTGCCACTGGGGTAGTGGCGGCAGGCCTCTGGCGGTGTTTTAAAGGGCCCGGGGCTCCCTGCAGTGGCCAAAGCTCCGGGCCCTTTAAATCCCTGCCCGAGCCCAGCTGTCGGAGCTGCGGCAGTGATTAAAGGGCTCAGGGCTCCCCGCAGCAGCTGGAGCCCTGGGCCCTTTAAATCACCGCCAGAGAAGCTGGTCTAGTCTGGCACAGTGTACCGGCTCTTGCCGGTACGCCGGACCAGACCAGACTGGCTTATTTTCACCTCTAGTTCATACTCACCCCTACTTATCAACTATTGGGAATGGGCCACATCCACCATGATTGAACTGGCCTTGGTAGCACTACAAAAAGTAATTTCCCCTCTGTTGATATTCACCCCTTCTTGTCAATTGTTGGGAATGGGCCACATCCTCGTTAGCACTGACCCCCCAACTTGGTAAGGCAATGCCCATCTTTTCAAGTGCTGTATATTTATACCAGCCTACTCTATTTTCCACTCCATGCATCTGATGAAGTGGACTATAGCCCACAAAAGCTTATGCCCAAATAAATTTGTTAGTCTCTAAGGTGCCACAAGGACTCCTCGTTGTTTTTGCTGATACAGACTAACACGGCTACCCCTCTGAAACCTGGACCTTTATAGAATTTCATGTAACCTTCCAGACTTTCTGAGAACTACATTTTCCTTGATCCTCCTAGATTGTTGTCAGACATGCCCCCGTGAGTATGTAAGGGGCAAGAAGTCACCTGTTAGTCAGTGAGATAGAAGAATGAAGTGATTTGAGAGCCCAGCTGTGATATCGTGAACCTTGTTTTATTGTGTAATTGTACTTGTGTTTTAAGACATGAAGAATGTAAGTAGTGACTAATAAAGGACATATTTAATGAGATGCCAGAGATATCTATTGAATCCCTACCTATGCAACAATATAAAAGAACTACTGTTACTTCTTTTGCCTTGCTTAACACATAATATTTGATGATTTTCTAAGACTGCAGAACAGAGACTTTTGCTCTAAGGGTATATAAACTTATAGCGCCCTGGAGGGAATGGGCAGGTGCCTGCCCTGGCCTATTACTACGGTTCTGCATGTCCACACTACCTTCTTTGGGTTGGTGGTGCACATCCTCACCAGGAGCACTTCCACCAACCTAAGAGGGGCAGTGTGAGGAGCGGAGAGCCAGAACTCTCAGCTCCGCTAGCAGCTCCCGGCCGGAAGCCTGGCTGCCATACCCCCATCCTCCTTGGCTCCCTGCTGGGAACGGGGAAAGCCACCTGGAGCTTCTTGCCTCCCAGTTTCCCGCCAGGAGAGGGGTCCAGCCTTCTTGCCCTGGCTCGCAGCCGGGAGTAGGGTCCATTCTCACCCCGGTTCCTAGCTGGGAGTGGGGTCCAGCCACTCAACTCTCAGGGGGAGCAGGGGGAAGCTAGACTCTACTTTCATTGTTACTTTCATTGGCTGTTAGCCCAAGTGTCTGCAGAGACACTGCATCGCCCTAACTTCACCAACATAAGCCCTACGCTTCTTCTGGAGGTGAAATTATTATGTTGGTGTAGTAGGGCATTTACATCATCGGGATAAGACTGTAGTATAGACACTAACATATTCAGTGAACATAAGCTGCCTTACGTAGACCAGGCCTACTACTGTCTGTTTTCCCTTGTAGAAAATAAAAGATGCTCCCAAAGAAGCCTTTAGGAGTTCAGTATAGGAAGTGAAAAGCTCAAGTGCAATCTAGTTTACAGCAAGGGGTAAATTTGATGGGAAAATATCTAAATCAGAACCACCATGGGTGCCAGGTGAATCCCCTCCTTTTGGGGAAGCTAGCCCACCAGCCCCACCCCTTTCACCCGAGGCCCTGCCTGCCAGAGCACTGAGCCTCGCCCCGTAGCTGGAGGAGCCCCAAGCCCCCCCACCCCTGTTAAACCCCCAATGGGTTAGGAGAGAAGCCAGGAAGTAAATTCCCGCTATCTCCTACAGGTACCCCTTGATCTGTATCTGATCACCGGTAGCAATCCTCTTCCCTCACCCCCAGACCTTCCCACTGAAGGAAGAGCACTAGACAATTAATGGGGTGCAAACAATAAGATTTATTAAAATAACTCAGTACAGTAAAAGCTGTGTTATCCGGCACTTTATCAACCGGAAAGCTCTATTAACCGGCATTTCTGATATCTCCCAATACAAATCTTCAATCTAGTAACTGGAACTAGTATACTGCCCAGGAGGTTATGCAATTGCACATTCTGCACTCTACTTTTATGCAAAAGAGGCAGAAGACAAGTAAGCAAGCTGATATCAGGGGTTTATTCAAAAAAGCAGCTTCCAGGGTGAGTCATAGGGTCATTATAGATTCAGCCCAATCTCCTACACCTTCTACATCTACAACGATACTTGATGTTGATAATGATGACCCTGAGGCACTGCAAGATCCTGAAGTGCCTTCTGAATCATCAAAGAAAGATTAAATTATGTTCAGTCTAGTTTTAGTGTTGTGTATTTTTAATTATCTGGGTGTTGCACTGCCCATAGTGATATGTAGTGTCATAAGAACCTACTCTATAGAAAACTTTACTTGTATATGACTAAGTGTTTCAAAAAACCAAACACTGCAGTGCAGTATTACTACTGGATTGGTGAGTACCTGTATACTATTTTATACTTTATTATTTTTATTTTTTAAATGGAGATATCCCATCTCCTAGAACTGGAAGGGACCTTGAAAGGTCATGGAGTCCAGCCCCCTGCCTTCACTAGCAGGACCAAGTACTGATTTTGCCCCAGACCCCCCAAGCATTGAACTCACAAACCTGGATTTAGCAGGCCAATGCTCAAACCACTGAGCTATCCCTCCCCCCTAATTATTGTATTCTAATTCTTTGAAAATTGGTAATCCATTGGTAAGTATAACTTAGTTAACCGGAATTTTTGACTAACCGTCATCCCCCTATTCTCCCCCCAACATGCTGGATAACAAAGCTTTTACTGTAGTTAACAAACAAATTTGGCATGAAGTCAGGACCCCTAAACTACAAATGGGTTAACAAGATAAACAGGTAAAACTGTACATCATCATTTCACGGGGATATCAAGAGTGGAACAGGGATGCCACAACAGGATCGAGACCATGGCTGGAACAGAAAGGGAAGAGGACCACAAACTGGACGATGAGGATCAGGAACAATGACACCAGCTCAGGAACTCACAAACAGGTATGTTGATCTTCTTTCTTGGTGTTATTCTGCAGCCACTGGGCTGCCTCTGGGACGGACAGCATGCTTCACAGGGCGTGCTGGGCTTTTATGCTCTCCTGTTACTAGGCAGGCTATTCCCAAGTCACATGACACAATTTTCCTACTCTTACTGAACAAGGGCGGCAACTGACGAACAAGAAGGGGGTTGAGAGGGTTGAGTGGCTGGACCCCTTACAGTCTCATCCTTGTTGACGTGATAACTTAGTTATCACAGTTGACACCACTTTGGTTTCTGTAGAGGGTTTTTAACTTCCTCTTTATCCAGCAGATTGTTGTAATTATTGGAACTATCAAGCCAAATTGTATTATTAAAATAATGACAAATGGGTGGATCAGCACACTCCACACTTCCTTGAAGTTGGTGGGACTGAAAAACAAGCTTTCCCACCAGTGAGAGTAAGATTTCTCCCTTTGCATCCTTTTGAGGATTTTTTCTATCTTTTTAGTGGAGTGGTGCATAGTGAGCATCACATTTTTACCTTGTGCCTTCACTTCTTTAAGGTGCTGTTTTAAACTTGGGTG